ACTCGAGGCGCTCCTACCTTGTTTTTTTCCGTGGACGAGGTGGAGGGCTGCTCATGTCTTGTGGAAGACTGAGGGGAGGACCAGTTTTTTTTGAAGGCTAACTATCTCTCTTCTATCTGTTGAAGATCAAGAGGGGACGACAAGAAGCTGTTCTCGACCTTATTGTCGACTAAAAGGCAGACGGAGCTCTCTTCTTTCTCATGAAGTTGGAAAGGGCTCTTTGCTTGATTGAAATGCTGATCGTTTGCCTTACCTTGATGCACTTTGTGAACAACATGAGGTTGATAGGCTTAAGTCTATGGGTGTGCCGTACCAGCAGGCTGACGGTCTTGAAGACTGCAAATCGCTGGCGGTCAAGTTTGTGCATACCTGGAGACCGAAGACCCACCCGGTTTCAGGTGATCCAGTCTGGCTCCGACGAGCCAGGCTGGTGGCTCGGGAGTTCAAGTTCAGAGATCCCATGCGGGAGGGACTTTACAGTCCCGCGTCACAGACGCTCTTGATCAGGGTGCAGTCAGCACTTTCCATGTCACGCCGCGGGTATGTGCTGCTCAGTTGTGACATATCAGACGCATATCTCACCTGTGCTCAACCCTGTCCCACGGTGGTAACTCTGCACGGCGCCACCTTCCGCCTAGCGTACATGTTGCCGGATCAGAAGGACGGTTCAGCTGTTTGGTTTAACACCTTTACTTCGTACTTGGTGTCTGAGGGTGGGATTTCCTTGTGGCCTGGGTGTGAGGCGTTGTTTGCTCTGCGTGACCACTCCGGTGGTGGACTGACTTCTTCACGTCGATGACTTGCTGGGGTCAGGAGACCATGATGAGCTTCGAAAGCTAGCGCAGGTCATCGAAGCAAGGTACAAGTGCACTGTTGAATGGCTTGTCCGAGAAGGTGACAGTCTGCAGTTCTTCAAGCGCAAGCACACATTAACCCGAGATGGCCTACTGTGCATCCAGAAGGCTGACAAACATGTCATAAAGCTTATCGAACTTCTGCACCTTGAGCATCAGCCCTCCAAGCCCACACCCTTGCCTCTATGCCATACGCATGCTTTCTCAGTACCTTGCAAGTCCAACGGAAGCCTGCATGAAGGCCCTCAAGCATGTCGTGAGGAATGCAAAGGGAACTAATGGATTCTGCCTCGGCCTAGAACAGACGCAGGCAGGTCAAGGCGTGAAAGTCCAATGCGACACAGGCGCTGATACGCTCGAGCTGTTCACGGACAGCGACTGGGCGAGTGATCGCTCAACAAGAAAGAGTGTCAGCGCTGGCGCACTGTTCATGAATGCAAACTGCATCTTCACTGCCAGCCGCACACAACGTGTAGTTGCCATGTCGTCTTGCGAAGCTGAACTGAACGCCATGGTTTCGTCATCACCGGAGCCACTCCTGACTGCCATGTTTTCAGCGATTCTTCTTCAGCTCGAGCCGTGGTGTGCAAACAGGGCTTGTCAAAGCTCAAACATGTTGAGATTCGATTTTTGCGGGTACAGGGTGCTCTGAAGAGTGGTGCGTTCAAACTTCACCCCATCGGTACACTTGAACGACCTGATGACTAAGACTCTCAAATGCGAAAGAATGCTGTACCTGATGTACCTTCTGAACATCCGCGACAGCGACGCTCAGTACGAACGTGTTGGTGAAACGCAGGCCGCTGCAAGAGACAACCACCTGTCCATGAAGCTTGCGATCAAAGCTGTGAAAGCCTTCAAGGGACCGCCGCAGAGGGTTCGTGCGCTCCTGCAAGCGTTGACCTTCATGTCCTTGATAGATGCGAATCAGGCTGCTCAGCCTGACTTTGGGTGCCATCCGTATGCCTTGACAAGCGCCTTGAGCGGCTGCGTGTTTATCCTTTTGTGCTTCGGGTGCCTCCTGCATCGTTATGCATGGCTTGGAGTGCTCTGTGCCGTCACCGTGTGCTTGAGCCTTCAAGGTTGCCAGGCTGAGATCGCCGATGAGCTTACATGGTTCCAGATTGGGTTTACCTTAGCCTTGGGAGTACTTCTAGCTTTGTGGTTTTGGGTTATGTTGCCAGAAGCCGAACCGCAGCAGCAACAACCTTGTGAAACCGACGACGCCGCCTCAATTGCTTGTGATGACGACGCGACGAGCCTGAATGATGCAATCCCTTCGAGTGGTGACGAGTCTTCCCCGGTGCCAGCAGTGACCAGAGCATCCTCTGATGAACCCTTGTCAGAGCCAGGACGCAGCAGCGATGGTGCTGCTGACGACCACGATCCGCCTACTGAGGTTGTGAATGATGCCTTAGCAATTGTGCCGGTTGCAGCTGCCGATCCCACGCCGATTTCGATGTCGGCCAGCTGCTCGTGTACTACGTGCCGATTTCTGGGCGCAGGTGGCATGTTTTCCGAGCTTGTTGGGGCTTGAGTCGAGCCACTGCCATTGCTGAGGAGGAGCTTCGAAGGCTCCTGCAACGTGATCCCGGTACCCTGTCACTATGTGCCTGGTTTGCATGAATCGGGTTCGCAACGACCTCAGGTTTAGGACGCTGCGGATCGTTGATGGGCCAAATGATCAACACCGTGAACACCCCGAACCCGAGCCCTTTCAGTAGTTTGTGGTTTAGCCTCGCCTTGTTAAGCAAGCTTGGATATCCGCGACGTTGAGACTTCAACGTACTCATGGTGCTTTGAACGTCCATGTTACCAGCTCACTTGGGAAGTCTGACCCTCTTGGGCTGAGGAGGCCTCGTATCGCATGACGCTATAGGCGTATACATCTTGAGCTTGTTTTGCCACGACGTTACCTTGCCATAATCCTTGTTGTCTTGAACAAGCCAGCAGCGCTTGAGTTTGGCAACACATCCTTACGACTTTTGACTTCTTGAGCAGTTGAGCGTTACTCCTGCGGCACAGGTCAGGTCTCAAGGTCCGTAGCAGGCAGGTACGTCTCACCCCGAACGCCCTTGACAGCGGTCAGTCCGCGCACGGCAAGACAAGAGACCAGAAAGGCGGCGTGACTTGCTCGGCACTGCTTGGCGGCTTGCGTCGTACTTGTACTCCTTTCGTTTTCCACTCCATGGCTTGGTAGTCGTAGACTCTGTCGTGTTGTGAAGGTGCGTTTGTGCACACAAATTCATCATTTAAATTGCTAAATTCGGGCCGGGAAACACCCAGAGAACCCACATGAGATATAATCGCCATCTGCCTGTATTAGCTAAATATTATAGGAGTGAAAACCCGTGGTTCCCGCTGGCTATAGTACCCCATTTACGCCGCACACTCCCTTGCCCCCACTCAGAACGGAATGGTGGGGGGCTCCGCAACTTCTTTCACACTAACTCGAGTGAAGTAAAAATACTTGAGACTCATAAAAAAATGCAAAATTAGTTTAACTTCGTTAACAGTATTTAAAATATCAAGTAAAATGACAAACAATCTGAAGAATACAATGTTGCTGGGGCGGGGGTTGGGTGGGTTGGGTGGGTGGGTCGAAATTGTAAATTTCAAAACGCGCTAACTGGCGAACTCTCAGACTTGCCTTGAAGGGCCTTGCTCGTTTTGTCCAGCTCTGAGGTGAGGCAGTTCCTGCGCCAGGCTTTTGATGACCTCAACATCCGCACATTTCTGGACGTTCCTTGCGGTGACATGACCTGGATGCCGCATGTCAATTTGACTGGTGTTGACTACTTTGGTGGCGATATTTCACCCAGTCTAGTGGCACACAACACCGACTTGTTTGGAGACGATGCTCGGTTCGCCGGCAAGTTTCAGGTCTTTGACATCACATGCATGATTCCTCCAAAGATGGACATGATACACACAAGAGATGTCTTTCTTCATATCAGCTCCGACCTATCCTTGCGAGCTTTGAAGAATTTTGAGCGAAGCGGATCCGGGTATGTTGCGATTTCGCACTGGCCGGATGCCAGTGGCGACACGAATGAGTATCATCCCACACGATCAGAGAAGGCATACCCCGAAGCCTTCCATGTGAAGTCAAGCGAAGCACAAGTGATTGGCTCTCATAAGTACAATCTTGAGCTGCCCCCCTACTGTTTGCCACCTCCGCTGTACTCGACGCAGAACTTGTTTGCGGTTAACGGGTCCAGTGTGATGGGTGTGTGGAAGCTGCCAGCTCTCGGACGAGGCACTCGGCCTCAATGCACGAAGCAAACGGTGGCGTCACCAGCACAGCTCGTTGATTCCTATGAGGTGTCAGTCTGCAGGGGCCAGACATGTACCCCTTCCTTTTCTTCTGACCTGTTTGCTGACTATCTGCAGTCGCCCAAGCTCCTAGGCGGTCCTCTGCAGTCCTGCTGCACAATCTGTGGAGATGCGACAACATCGGCGTGCTCGAACTCTCGGAATGAAGAGCAAATTTTCCTAAGCCATGTACTGCCCTTTGTGACATACACCATGCCTGACCATCCCGTGTTCTTGGAGATGGGTGGTTATGATGGGTGGCATGAAACCAACACGCACTTTTTGGAGCAATGCTTGGGGTGGAAGGGCATTCTTATCGAGGCCAATCCCAGAATGTTCAAGAGGTTGCAACAGCTTCGACCAGGCACTCTAAATATCCACAGTGCCATTTGCCGAGAAGCAGGGCATGTAAAGTTTGCTGGGAATCATCCTGGAGCGCATATCGAGACAGAGACTGACGATTCGGGGTACACCGTTGCTCCGTGTCGGCCCTTGAGAGAATTCTTGAGTTCTCTGAACGCCTCGCACATCGACTTCTTCAGCCTGGACGTGGAGGGTTTTGAGCTTCAGGTTGCAGAGTCTGTGGATTGGTCCCAGTTCTCGGCAGCCTTCTTGGTAGTCGAGGAGCTCTCAAAGCACCAGCAGAAGAATGAGCAAGTAAGGGAACTGCTCACGCAGCGGGCAGGCATGGAAATCCTCGCACAGCAATGTTGGAAGCCAACTGCTTGTGATGCTTATTTTGTGAACCCACACTTCGTAAATGTGGCTGCTGCCCAGAAGCATCTGGCAAGCGTGCCTTTGCCCAAGGGATTCCGCCCACCTGACCAGTGCCGACCAAAACAGTAAGGCGATTTTGCAGCGCAGTGCCCAACGCGGCACCTGATTAGCAACGCTTCACTCAAATCACTCAAATCTGAGGCCATGTGGTAAAAGGAGCGCAGGCTGAGCGATGATTCTGCTGCCAAGGTGTGGGATAGAGCCTTATCCCCTGCCATTTTGTTAAGTCCATGTTCTTCGAGGGCCCGAGGAATTCCGTGCTTGCAAGCATTGCTGCTCTGCAGGTTTGCGTTTGAGCATACTGAGCTTGCGAGGTTATCAGTAGCTTGGGACGCCAGCTGGCCGTTGCGTGCTCAAATACTTCCACGTGCAATGTGATCGCAGGCAGTTGCTGCAAACCTCCCTTGTTTCCTTTAACGCTTGTACTGGTCCGCGAAAGACTGGCGAAAGATACTGCTTTTCGCGAAAGTTCTGATGTTATGCTTTGTGGTTGCTGTTGATTTCCTATCTTGGCAGCAGCTCGGCAACAGCTCGCCAACAGCTCTACTGTTGCTCCAGCTGCGCATTCCTCGCTCAAGTCCAGCCACACCTCCAGGGTTCCGTTGGGTTTTGTTCACGCCAAAGTCCCGCGAAAGTATGGATGAAGAGTCCGCGAAAGTGCAGGTGGCTTTTGCAGGTCCCAGATGGTATTCGTCCAGTGGTCGGCGCACGGCGCGCCTACCCGAGAGCAGCCTGCAGAGATGCACTGCAGCAAGAACGCGCTGATTCCAACGCACTGCAAATCATGGCATCTGTCTCATGTTGACATGATACGAACATGGTCCGCAAGAAAGTCCCGAAAGTATCTGCGAAAGGCATCACCCTTTCCGCGAAGAAAGTCCGTTTCCGCATGACGGAATATACAACAACCACAAAATATGTGCAGCATGAAGTTGTTTACAGATGATAACGTTCAGACCCAGATGAAACTCGTCAATATCTTCCTTGATGTGGTATTCCGCACGTCCCCGGCCGTGGCCAAAAAGCAGAGGAGCGTGACTGCATTGGAATTGGCAGCAGGAACGTCGCCCTGAGCGAACACAAGCGAGTGATTTTCATCCTCGCTGAGGTCGCTGCTGGCATCACGCTTGAACATGGTGACACATGACTCTGGCAGAGTGATGATGAGGCAAACAAGCAATTCCGCTTGCAGTACAGCCGCTGCTTGCATATCTTCGCGCATTTGTTGATGTGGGAAATTTTGGGTGGGTGTTCAAGCTTGAGTTGCTCAAAATGTTAGGGCTTGTAACAGGCCCCGTGCGCTCACGGCACGACAAAGAGTGTGCAACAAAAACCGGTTTTTGCGACGAGGCTTGCGCGACAAGGCTTGCTCGCCCAGAATGCGGCGCAACAAAGATTTGTAACAAAGCTGGCGCGACAAGGGGGGCGACAAGGGTTTGAAACAAGGTGGGGGCCGATCCCCCTGCGACAAACCGGAGGTTTTGAGCCATGCCCAGTTTAGCAGATGTCAAAACTGTCCACGGTGAAACACGTAAAGGGGCTGCAGAAACTCTGCCCCACGTAAGCTAAAGGCCCACGCCCGTAAGGCACGCGTAAGGGTCTGTGCAAGCGGTGGCAACATGTTTGACCGTGTTCCGAGTAAGCTTGCGTAAGCTAATTTGTTTGTTGTCATGCTACAGGATTGCTTGGCGCCGGGGGGCATCGGGATTCACTTTTCTCCCGAAGAGGGTCAGCTAGAATAGCTGTTGTCAATTGGTGAACTGGGACTCTCCGGTCCAAACAGCCTTTCACAATGATCAATGCAGGTGAAGTGTGCTCCGTATTGACGTCTTTGGTCAGAGGGTAAGCCCGAGCATACGAGCAGTTCCAAGCAATGGATTCCCATGTCTACTACCTCAGGCTGATCTGAACCAGCTCAGACACAGTGCATCAGGCCGTCATAAATACCTTCGATTGCGTTGGTGGTCGCAGCCAGCCATTCTGTAGAGCCATGGAGATAGAGTTGGTGAAGCGCCGTGCCACAGAGTATGGCCTCGGTGTTGTTCTTGCTCTGGTATCTGCTTTACCCGTTGTGTATTACTGGCACGATATGCAGTTGCTCTGGTGCCCCTTGCCATAACGCATGGAATCACTGGCGTGCCTGGTGGATTGGTAGGCATCCGAGACTCTGTTGAGACTTAGGCGAGCTCCGACCGCGGCTTTCACAAGCTTCGACAGTTGCATCAAGCGTTGAAGACTGGCTTTGTGGCTTCGGAGACCGTCAACCTGCCCCTTGGCATCACTATTGGTCGTGTATCCAAGCAGTGCAGCTCCCCAAGTTTTGAGGTAGCAGCAGTCTCGTGGCGTGCCGTGGAAGTTGCTTTGTCATCCAGTTGCGGCTTTGTTGGCAGCACGGCTATTCCTGCGAACCGATTTGCAATCATGGCAGTTCACCATCAATCTATGACTGGAGGTGACGCACTTGCTGTCAGTCTCCATTGGCATGCAATGAAAAGGGGGATGCGATGGGCAGGCTGCCAGCTTAGCGACCGTTGGATACGTCAGAATTTTTCCTGTCTGGCCAAAGATACGAGTGAACAAGCTAAGCTTCAAGCTCTTGACTTCGAAACGCGCCACCTGCTTGAATTGCCAGATTGGTGGCGATGCAAACCTGACCTGGAAACGTGTGCTTTCTGCGATGGCCAATGGTTCGACCAGCTGCTGGTCGCATACGAAAGCCTGCTGGGCTCTGCAGTACATTTGTTCATACCTGTCAAGGAAGTACACTCTCATTTGTGGTCGGTGTTGCAATGGACTCAAACGCCATTCGCACAGTTCAACGTGACCAGGAAAATGTGGAACCCACTCGCAAAAACCTGGCGTTTGCTTGAAGAAGAACATGTGGAACACTTTATTGCGGGATGGCCATTCAATCGTTCAAGCAGGCTGCATGTCATGCTTACGGACAGACCTTCGGAATCCTTGGTCATGTTTCGAAGAACCTTGAACTGGTCCTTGAGGGATGCTTTGTTCGTGACAGGCAGCTCTGTCGAGAAAGCTTTTGTCCAGGTCCCCAGCGATCCTCCCATTCTGTATGAGCATCTGGCTGTGGATCAGAAGATTTACAAAAAATTGCGCGCCGAGTTTGAGACAGAACTGCATGGGTTCAGGTCGAAGGAGACAGGCTTCGAACGTGAAGTATTAGCCCATGAGCGAATCATGGCAGCACTGCCAGGCGCTTGTGGCCAGCATGAAGCCCACACGCCAGATAGCTTGTTGGCACAGCTGTGCCGTGCACACGCCAGTGAAGTGGATGTGCACCGCTACAATCAGAAGTATCACTGCATCGCCAAGGCCTGACAGCTGACAAAACGTCTCCCAGGTGTTTTCCCCAGCAATGGGGTGGGGTTGACAATGTGCTTGAACGCCTATACTTCCTGAGATATTTTTATTGAGTCTGGGATGCCAAGGTATTGGGTTTTTGTTGAGTCTGGCTTGCCAAGAAAATATGATATAATACAAGTTTTTTGTGTATATATATATGCATATATATATATATATTTTTTTTTATTTTATACTTTCTTATTTTACATTACATATTAAATGATATTGTACATTATTAGTGAGTAGACATGAGTGCATGTGCATCCTTGTCAGTTCTCTGATGCCGTCAGTGCTGTTGTTTCCGAAGCCATGTTGCATGTTTGTACATACTTCATATGCCAAATGTTTTGGCTCAAGTGTGAGTTTTGCTTGTGCCTTTGCGCACGGTAGACCGTAGCAGTAGCTTTCCGGTTGCTGCCTAGCGGTCTGACCTTATACGGGCTCGCAAAAACAGCTTTAGGAGCTCGACTCGCGAAGCCGCAAAGCAGTTAGGGTGTCCGCGATTGCACTGGCTTGCAAGTCCGGTTATCCCGGTTTCACAATTGGGGGCTGTTCTGGGAAACTTGCTCGATGTCCCTCGCGGCCCGACGCGGCGCGAGCCCTTGCTCGTCCGCGGCGGCGGTCCGATCCTGGATCGACTGAGTTACACAGCGCGGTGCCCAGCGATGGCGGCACAGCCATCGACTTCGAAGGAGGTGGCTGGACCACCCTCCTGTCGGCCATCGAGGAAGGCCTTGCGCTGGCTCGTGAAACTGGCACAAGGCCCATTAGAGCTTTCGTCTTCCTCTGAGCAGGAGGCGGTGCTCTGGTGGAAGGTGATGTCTTTCCTGTACGACAAGGAGGAGGACGAGCTCGAGGATGGGAGGAGGAGGAAGAGGAAGCGCAAGCTCGTCATCGAAGAAACGCTGCCCCTGCGCGGACAAAGGCCTCTGTTATGGGGGGTAGCCTGGCGGTGGTTCCTATCCCGGCTACGAAGGCGACTGCGCGAGTCTTTCGGTCCGCCCTCCACGCGCCGCCAGGAACCTCCGAAAGGCTGCAAGGATGCGCGGCCCTGTTAGCCGGCGGTGCAGGTCTGGTGCTTGCGGACCAGCTGGCGCGGCGCTGAGGGCAGCTGATGACGCCGATGAAGCTGAGAAGATCCAGCCAAATACGACAAGGTTTGGAGACGTGGGCCAGACGTGGGCTCTCTCCTGTGCTTCCCGGGATGGCAGGGAAGGCGGGGCCCGCGATTCATGCGGGCGGCCCGGGAAGGCGAAGACAGCGTCGGCAAAGGCGGCCGGCGCCCTGCCAACTGCACGCGCAGCAGAGCGGAGAGTCACCGAAGTTGGCCGCGCTCGAGAAGGAGATCGATGCCCTGACGAGAGGCTCCGATGCGAGCAGACGGAAACCCTCAAGGAGGCTCTTACCCGTGGGCGCGGGTGCAAATCCATCACCGCGGTCAAGACCGATTTGACGTGGCGACCTTGACCGATGATAAATTGGACACGCGCGATGTCGTGCTCTTTTACGAAGTGTTTGAAGACGTGTGCGCGATGGTATTGTACGGGAATGTCTGTCCGTGGAAAGTTGTTAGCTCTCCACAGGCGATGCCGCGGCTCGCGCCTCAGGACGTGCACTGTTAACACCTGGCAGGTGGTATGGGAGTCGGGAGAGATACTCTCCGGCCATAGTCGGTGTACGACCGGATCAATACCAAATATCTGATGCTTGGTAAGTCCCAGCAGGAGCGAGAAGTCAGGGTGGGCGGCGAGCACGTCACTCTGCAGAAGGGTAAGCTCGTAGGTCGCCAACTCGAGCCTCTCTTTGAGGCCTCGATTGCGGACCTCGAGGCGGTCGGTTTGTCCAAGACGCCTCGTTAGCTCGTCAAACGAAGATGCCGGGGCACTTGCACCGCAAAGTCGTTTTTAGCTGGAGCAGCGCGCTGCGGCGCGGCCGGCGAACCCATTCGGTGTATACCGCTTCCAGCTCGATAAGTGCGAACCCTACGGTCGTTAACAAGTAGACCCAGAAGATTAAGCAGCAAATCTTTACGGGCAGCCAGAAAGGCGCATAAAAAAGAACAGATAAAAAGATTTACATATCTTGCCGGGATTATGACAATTGCTCGAGCGAGATACGTACTTTTATAGTTAGATTAAACTCTTGCCCTCGCAGGGCCTAATATTAGAGGATTGCGGCCAAAGGCGTTTCTAAGCTTGTTTGGCCGTTGTTGCCAAGAACGGGGGCTAACTGTGACACGGTCTACAATTTCACAGTCTCCGGAGTTAATTGGAGTGTTCTGGCTTAGTATCTAAGTGTCGGTAGTTTAGGCGTCTTGACGGGCGTTTTTATGATCTATGGAAATATTGGTATTTCGTTGATAATAATTAGGAGGATACTAATAAGAAGATCGAATATATATATATATAATCTACTCCGTTTTGATGGAATTAAGTCATTGAACTTGGTTATATGAAGATTTTTATAGAGAGATTTATCTCTTATGATAAGTTTTGTGAGAAAAAAAGAATTAAAGTTAATTAACGGCAAAGAAAAAAATAAAAGAGATGATTTAGATATTACTAAATTACAAATAATTCATAATTCAAAAATAATGCTTTTGCATGAACCCCACCCCATAAAATAAGGCCCCTAAGGGTGTCGGAAAGCTTCGTAAGGCCTATAAATTTATATATGTATGGTATTACTATAAAGCACGGCCTTGGCTAGGACCTCGTAATCCGAATTGTCAAAATTTTCTGGGCACTACACTGGATCGATTGAGCCGAATATTTCACGATATTCCAGAACCCTTCCGATTGTTGCTTTTTCGAACGGGCAATGTGGTCTCTTTCCTTGCTCAAGAATTGCTTATGTCTCATCTTCAAGATGGAACGATTTTTAAGAATAATAGTTCGTATTATTTCGGGGTGCGAATTTTTAGCGTAATGGAGCTCGACCGAAGGCACATTTCTATTATATAACGCGATTGCTTGGCTGGACAGTAGACGAAAAAAACAACGCTCTATCTAGCTCTGTTTTCTCCATCTCTATTTCTATATGTCAACTACAATTGTACACAGGATTTATCATTAATCACTATGAAATCATTACAATATCCCCGCCTAAGAGAAATCAGGGCCAGGTTGCAGTCTTGAAAGCAGGAGATCCGGAAATTTTGGGCAACTCCGAGATGTTGCCGTATGATGCTGAAGCTGTTGGCTGTGCAGCTGTCCAATATATTTCTCACGACTTTTTTCCTAGGTTTTGTGGATTTTGACGATATCGATCTCCTCTGTCGCCGCCTGGGGTTCAGCCTACAAAGCTTGGGTATAAATCTTGTCCTTAGGCTGTCTGTTCGCTTGGGACTGCACCTCACAGTTCTGAGCATCTTGATGATTCTGATATCTGGATAGCAATTTCTCCAAAGAACAACTCGACGCGGGTTGTATTTGTTTTGTAGTTCAAGATATCTTCGATTTGTATTCCTGGACACGAAACCCGCATCACGATTCCTACCCATTCAATAGAATTGATGGGCTGAGTCATCTGCGCCCGGAAGTTTTGTCGGACGCATTGGCTCATTAACGTATCGGTGCCATCAGCATGTAATTATTTCATAAATAGTCGGCATCGTGGTCATGAAATCAATCGAAAATTTTTGCCATGGATTCGTGCCATGGGTGCTGAGGCAGGGCCTGCCGAAATATCGTTCACGCAAATTTCAACCTCAAACCTCGTGCTGAACCGTCTCCAAACAAAAACGAGCCATTGTAATGATACTTTCATTCTAATGAAAGTTTGTGGTCAGCATATTTTTGGCAATCGAACAAATTTTGGAATTGTCCGTATGGTCCCTTCATAAAGGAGTCAATATCGTACCGCCAGTGCTGTGGGGGAGATATGGCCAAGCTTCCCATATCGGGATTCTTGAGCCACTGTCTTGCCAATTCCAAGCAAATGTCGGCAAGATCATCGTTGGCCTCCCCGTGGGGCTCTCTGCCACCAATGGTTGTAAAGCTTTTTTGGCTAGTTCAGCTAATTCAAGTTCTGCATCTGGGGTTCAGCCTCGAGGAGAATATCTATTATGAATGCTTCGTCATAAATATAATGAATTTCGCGAAGGCAAAAGGCCTGCCAGACTTCCAAAGTCCCGCAGCCGGAGTCGCTCTCCGTCTTCTGCAGCTGGCGCATTGGCATTGTACAATAAGGATTGAAAGCGGGATTCTTTCGAGACCAAGTTGGGAGCAACAATATTTTTTTTCGCTCTTCGTTAGCCTTGCAGGCAAAGACCCTATAGCTCAAGTCTTTGGGCCCTTATACAAGTTGGCACAAAGCTCGCCTGCAGCCTGGCTAGCCCTTCCCCTGAGCCTGCCTGGCTGGTCTGGTACTGAAAAGCCCAGAAGTACCTGATTTTTGAAGTGCTGCAGACTGAAAATATCAAGGACCAAGTAGGAAACCCTCGAGCTCCGTTTTTGTATTTGCCTAGTAGCTCAAATATCCGATATTGCTGTTTCCTAGTAACTCCGATTTTGCTTCATCCTGGGAACTCAAATTTTGTTTCTTCTCGGAATGTTGCTGTCTCTGTCTCTGTTGCTATCTCTGTCTTTGTCTCTGTCTTTCTCTGTCTCTGTTGCAATATCTTTCTATTTCTCTCAGTCTCTCTCTTTCTCTCTATGTCCGTATTTCCGGACTCGCCGCGTACAGCACGGCTGGCCCAGGACATTCAGGATCTTGCTGAAGACTCCATAGAGTATTCTGTGTAGATTCATTTATGTATTGACATATTTGTACTGCGCCTGTAGAATTTGTGTGGCTTGGTAAACGCTCTCGAGCGTCGCATCGCAGAGCTCGAAGGCATTCCTGAGGTCACAGATGCACAGAGCTGCTAATTTCTCGAAGAGCTAGATTAGCTTTTTCGTTCAATTGCCATGCCTCGCCAAGACGCCGCAAAGCGCCCGCGCACTGCAGAGGAGCCTTCCCACCACGCCCTGGTGGAGGCGAGACTTTGCTACACTTATATCGTATTTTCTATTTTTCTTGCACTGTATGTTCGCCCAATATGATGTCTATTTTTCATTTGGCTCGTATCGCCGGCTTTATTCAAGGGGCTCCAGGACACTATATCGCTCAACGATTTTCCGATGGAGATTAGCCCGGGGGTTTATTGCCTCGGGCCCCGCTCTGCACTGGACCAGTCACCGCACCGCCAGCACCGCGCAAGCCAGCTGGCCGAGCTGCTCAGCACTCTTCGGGTAGAACGTATGAAGTTTCTGAAGCGCATGGTCGTGCACTGGCATAGCACAGTGCTCTGGGATGTGTATTTGAGGGAGATGGCCAGATCTTCTCGCGCCGCACCGCTGGCTTACGAGCCGGAGGCACCGCCCCGTATTGATTTTCTTCAAGTCCTTCGGGACCTGCGCACATTGTACCGCGCAGTTCTTTCCCTGGAATATGCTGATATCCGGGCTTTGCGCGGCGCCTCCTGCACAATATTGGCGAGAACAAGCACAGCATAGAGGCGGACCAACTATATCGTGCTCGAAGGCCGCCCCGCCTTGTTCTGGCGAAAAGGGATGGAACTCCTTATAACTATCTATATTGTACAGATGAGAACAACCCGCGCAGCATTGTTGACTTTCTCTAGCAACGCACCGCCATAAGAAATATGTACGCCGATTTGTTATTTTTCTTGCGCTAGCCACTGGCTTTTTCGGGCTACCTAATGCCTCGCAGGCTGCATCGTTTCTCATTGCACCGCCGTGCTCTTACTTATCAGCTCTTTCTCTGCCTGGGTGCATCGCCTTGCTCTCAGATCATCGTCTCGGCTCTGCCCCGCACGGTCTGAAGCCTACTTCTCGCCGCCTCGATGTGCTTTGGATTCGTTGTCCATTCTGGAGATCTGATGCAGCACTGCATTGCCGGCCCATACGACCAGGCCGGGGCCCAGATTGCGCCTTTCTTGGGCACCTCAGGTCGTCTCTTTGCTTCACCTTGGTATTCTAAGGTGAAACCTGGGCGCTCGCAGCCCTGCACTGCACCGCGGCTGTGCTTTTTAGGTTGCTTTGGTTGTGTTTTTTGCACCGCCTTGAAGGTACCTTGGCTTCTTCGTGGACATCGTCTTCATAGGACTCTTTCGTTGGGTTTCCTGCACTGCTCCGAGACTATTTGCATACGTGCCCGCATTGCACTGTCAGCCACGTTCTTCTTGCATGTCGGTTTCTTCTCGTAGTGAGCCTTTCTACTTCAGCTTTCGTATTCGCATTTTCGTGATCTGCACTGCCTCGCACAGCCTCGCTAGGCAGCATGTCAAGCCTTGCAACCGTATTGCAATGCCTTCTGTGAGACAGCTAACACTGATCCAGGACGACATCCGCGCTGCTATGCTGGGGGTGGATTCCAGCGGCACCGCACCGACTTCTTCGAGTAATGCACCGCCAACGCCAGCTCCTGATAAAGCTTTCCTTAAAGCCTTAAAGGCCCGCTCTGCGGCCCTAGAAGCCTCACCCGTCCAGTAGCCTGCGCCCAACGCCTACCCCAGCACAGCAGGTCGAGGAGGATAACGCCGATTATGCACCGCATCGCCTTGACTCCCGCGACTACAGTGACGACTGGGATCGAGGTGCATCTAGCACTGCACCACCTGTACATCAAGCTCCACCTCAAGCACCGCGCCGCAACGCAAGGCCCAGCTTCCCCTTCGCACGGCCATCGTACGATGAGTACGATCGGCGCCGCGCTGAAGCCGAACGTGATTGGGGCAATGCCGACTTCGACGAGCCAGATATCTATTGGCAGCACCGCCCATGCCCAGCATCCTGGACAGACCGCCTTTGCACCGCACCGCGTGCACGGGAGGATGCCTTCTGCTCCTCGTCTTCCTTCTCGTCTGCGAACGATCTCTACTTCTCGACCGTTTGCGGCGGTCTCTCCTCGACCGGCGACTTCTGCTGCCGCTGCTGCGGCCCATATTTTCGAACTTATTTCAAATCTTAAATCTGAAGGCCTTGAGAAGTTACGCGTGCAGGTGGGTTGCACAAGGGCCTTGAGAAGTCCTATCTGTAAGTAGTTGTTTGTGCCCAGTCGAAATACCCGTAAGTAGCTGCTTGTGCCAAGTCGAAGTCATATGTGTAGGTGTAAGTAGCTGCTTGTGCCTAGTCGAAGTCATACGTGTGGGTGGGTTGACCAGGGGCCTTGAGAAGTTTTGCTTGTAAGTAGTTGCGTGTGCCCAGTCCAGGCTAGCCCTTAACTTGGATTTAAAGGCTTGTTGTTGGGCCAAAGAAAGAACGACCGTCAGATTCAGAGCCGGCTCAAGCAAGCTTCAAAGAAGGGCAGTGCGAGCTGAGCAACAGACCCAACGAGACCGCGAAGATCACGAAGTAGTTCCTACACACATCGATACTCAAGGCTCCCCAAGCCCTAAACCCCAATACCCAATCCTGCCCTGTGATGAGGCGGTCCGCCGATGCCAATGCCGAGTACCTGTGGTTAAGGTCGGCGGAACGAGCCGCCAGCGGCAAGGGGTGCCGCTTGGGTTCTACGGGGGCGGAACAGCCCGCCAGCGGCAAGGGATGCCGCTTCTTGGGGTTTAGGGTTGTAAGGAGCCCTTGGTTTTGGGATTTAAGGCTTGAGGTTTAGAGTTGCAGCAGGTTTGAGAGTCTCGGGTTTAAGGGTTTAGTGCTCGGGTTCCGATAGGTTCTTTCTTACATCTCTTCTGAATCGATATGATGGGTCTAATAGAAGGCTCTTCTCGACTGAACCAGCACGATGCACGGCAACATGGCTTTGTCGCACGCCGCTGCCTTTTCGACACGGAAGATCGGCAAGTGGAGGATGGGGGAGCACTCGTCCAATTCACTGAGTCTCGACCACAAGCCTGATCCACCAGCTAAGGAGGTAGTTTAAGGAGGCGACTTCTCCCTACGGGTCTCGCTTTGTTGTGCCCATGCATGATGCGGCGGGTCGGTCTTCTGACATCGCAGGCCATCCATTGAAAACAGGGTGACCTGCTCCAGTATGGACATAATTCAGATATGCTCACAGGCCACAAATTATAGATTAGAGTTGTAACCATACTGCAAATCTTTCTATTTTTAGTCAAGGCACATATTGTGGACCAACAACGGCTCATAATATACCAGAACCGTTGACTGACAACTTGACAAGTACCAACACCTGTTTTCATGCATATCCAGACTCTCGGTTACTTGTCGGAGGACTCCCATATAGCACCGGGCAGCCCTTTTAATAAAGCTTTAATAAGGTCGTAATAAGGCTTTAATTTCCTCTAATATGGCTTTAACAAGGCTTTAATAAATTTTCATATGATTTTAGAAGATTTTGATATGATTTTAATGATGCCCTTAATATAATGTATGCTTCTAGAAGTTTTATAATGGTATTAATAAGAGTTTAATAAGGCTTTCATAAAGCCTTAATAAAGCGTTCATAAAGATTGAATATAGGTGTAATAAGGTTTTCAAAAATTTTAATAAGGATTTAATAGGAAGCCTTAATATAGGATTAGTAAAATATTATTATCAAGTCTTAAAATGATTTTAATAAGATTTCAATAAAGCTTGAATAAGATTTGAATATGAAAAAAATTTGATATAATTTTAAGAAAATTTTAGTAAGACGTTAATAAGACATTGAAAAGGCTTCTCTAAGATTTTTATAATTTTAATATAATCTTGATAAGATTTTAATAAGAATATAATATGGCTTTAATAATGATTTAATATGAGATTTTAGTAAGGTTTTAGTAATGTTTCAACAAGATCGGATTGAGATTTTGTCAAAATTTTCCTAATATTTTCTTAATTTATGAAAGTTTAGCAAGGTTTTTAAATAAGATCTGAATAAGATATTAATAAAATTAAAATATTTTCATATATTTTAATAAGGCTCTAATAAAATCTTTAATAAGATTTAATAAAATTGAATAACGACCGCAATAAAATATTAATAAACTCTTAACAAGGCCTTAATGAGATTTCAATAAGGCCTTAATAAGGCCTTCATATAATCTTAATATAATTATAAGGCTTTACTATAGCCTTGATAACACCTTAATGAGGCTTTAATACGACCTGAATAAAGTCTTCATAAGGCCTTAATAAGGCCTTATATATTCTCCCTATCTCTTTCGCCCTCCCCTTCGAAACCTTCAAAACCTTCGAAGATTTCTATATTTAGGACGAGACTCTCTGCGTCTTTCCCCTCGAAGCCTTTGAAAGCTCCTTCGTCCTCATCTTCGAAGCTTTCATCGTCTCCTTCGAAGATTTCCTCCCTGTAGCGCGCCCCCTCCCCCCCGCCCCCCTTCCACCCTTCAATCTCCAAGGCTTCGAAGCCTCCTTCGCCGAAGGATCGCGGGATCCAGCCACGGCGAGCGCGTACAGGTGCCCATGGCCTAACGTGACCTGCTATTCCAGGAGAAGCTTTCGGAGAACTTGCGCTTCAAGAAGCTGGAAGAGTTGTGCCAGCCAGGAAAGGGCGCTTTCGAAAGGCTTGCGGACGAGCGAGCTGTCGTGAACCAACCAGCATTTACGAGTGCCTTCGCTAATTTTTGTGCGACCTTGTTCCGGATCCGGCTGTCAGTCAGAAGAAAAGCAAGAAGGGAGTAGTAACTACGACAGGCGCAGAGATCTAAGTCCAGATATTGCTGGAGCTGGCGCTATATGAGATAGACGAGAATTCATTGCCGGAAGAAATCTTACGAGATTTAGAAATCCTGGTCGATATCTTTGATAATAAAAGAAAGAATCATGTTGCAGTGCATGCCCAGCAGTAGAAAGAATTTATTCTTCGTTGTTATACAGATCTTTGTATCCGTGGCGGGTCTGCTTCAGATTTCCATGGGGATGAGGATTTAATAGAACAGATCTTCTCGAAAAACTACTAGAAGATTACTTCTGTGAGTAACATCATTGCAAATTGTGGCGTAGCAGAGCAATATTACAAAGATATATTGCTACAAACCTGCGCAAAGCTTGAGGAGGCAAACAGCAAAATTGGGCTCTGACATGAATTGCTGCCTGCCATATTGGGTTTGCCCAAGACGGCACAGAAACATGAGGACAATGGATTGGATCCGGGGAGGCGAAGCACCGAATCCAATCAGACCCGGAAATAGTTGTAGCAATTCAGACTAATAAGGAAATCTTGGAAAATAGATTCAATACGAATAAGATTGAGCAAATAAGACCTCAGGTCTACTAGGGCGCCGTGACGGAGCTCCGGCTGTCAGCCATGGAACTGCTGAGGCTTGCCAAGAGCGCCGCAAGCTGAAAGTGGAGCAAGCTGCCAGCAGCTTGCGAAAGCTCGGATATCACTTCTTGCAGTGCTACGCACTATGAAATACGCCAATATTCGCTAGGTCTTGCGTCGATTTTGTCTCCGCCGAGCTTGCCACTTTGGGAGACATTGACTCCCGTTGCTAACGAGAATAATCTAGCGGTCCGATTAATAGACCCCTCCCCCCCTCCCCCTCCAATCAAAATATTTTGGCTTGAATAATCTAGGATCCGTGACCTCTTGCTACAAAGTTTGGTAGATTGGAAGCTCTTGGATTGGTTTGGGATCTGGGTGGCTTTGAAGGAATTGGAGGTGATTTGGGCGGAAAGGATACAAATCTCCGCGGATATCCGGATCGTTGCCGAGATATTCAAAAATTCGAAAGTCATGCAATAGTATGGTAATAATATAATAAGAATATAGTAATAATATAATAGTCGTTCAGTAGTAAAAATAATATATTAATAGTATAGTAGTAATTCAATGCGAAAATATAAAGATATCTAGATTTATATAGTCGGATTTGGAGATGACTAAAATAATCATCACTATTGGTGCAGTGGTCTTGTGGAATTCGACTCGCGCGTTGCCTATATACTGCGGCTGCAGAACCCATCGAATATAGATCTGTTTCATATAAGATACGGCTATATATCGTTCTCAGATTTTCTTCTTTAAAGAGAATAGATATCGCCTTAAAGAAATAATCCGGGTCGAAGAAGATAAGAATATTCCTAGATCTTAATTCGAAGTAAACCTACCTTCAAACCTTATCTCGACGAGAAATCTCGTCTTCCTATTTATCATTCATCAATAAATTAATAAATCGCAATCATCAAAATTCCGAATCAACGTCGCCAAAGCACAAATACGGTTTTAAGAAAGCTACGGAACCCGAACAAGAGCTTTTCTATGAATATCTTTATATCCAAAATCTAGAGATATTCTCCAATTTTACTAAACTAATGCCCTCATATAATTAATGTATTCTATTCTCTTTTATTCTCTTTCTTCTAATCATATAAATATTTTGAATATAAATCTATTAAGAACTTCTTTCTAATATAGAATAAATATATTTTTCTAAATAACTAATTCCTTTTCAATCTATTGGAAAAAATATTTATAAAAACAGAAATAATTTTTTTCAAATTCTATAATATATATATATATCGATCTAAATAAGAGAGAATGGAGAGAACATTATATAATTTAAGAATAAGTCTTAATTATTACATATTAAATTAGATTATTCCCAATTAAATTATCCATATTATTTTTCAAAAATACAATAATCATAGAATTTTGATATAAATCATAAGAATTTTGCTTTCTAAGAAATCCGAATTATTAAATAAAAAATATTTAATATGAAAGAATTCCTACGCACAAATCAAAATAAATATTAAGTATATTTAATAATTATATTTCCTAATCTATCATCAAATATATAAGAAATTAAATCAATAGATATTAAAAAAATATAAACTAGAAGACATATAGCCCGAAAGCTTCATTTGCGAAGAGTTTAGCGCTATAACTATTATTGCGATATGGCATATTAAATCGATAAAAATATTACATCGATAGATCAGGTACCCAGCGTTATACTTCGAATAAAGTGCAACCTACCGAGTGCATAGATATAATATAGAATGAAATATATCGAGTGAAGTACATCGAATCATAT